TGTCCTTCTGTCTCCCTCATCCTTAGTCTGTTTACACTGTAAACTCTTATGAGTAGGGATGGTCTCATGTATTTGTACGCTCAGGGTATTGGGTATTATTCAGAAGAGCAGCTCTATCTAAGCTCAAAAGCTTGTCTTTTTCACCAACAGAAAGATATTACCTCACCCATGTTGTCTCTCTAATATCCTGGGATCAACACAACTACAACACTTAATGCATTACAAAAGTGTCAGTTGTCCCTCATGCCTACATCGCATGATTTTGTGGAGACAAAAGTTACTGCGTACTCAAACTTAAGTCAGCAAGATGCTAACATTTCCCATCACCATTGCCTACAGTCATAAAATGTTCTCTGATCACACTGCCCCATGAATGATATTTCATAGCACATAAAAATGGTGTCCAAAGTACAGTCTATACCTCCTCTGTGATGTTTTAGGATACTGTAGAAAAGCTATTAAATAGCCATAATAGAGATGAAAAAGAACTTTTGGCCATTTAGCCTCATTCTCTGCCAGTGCAACATTGTTCATTGCAATATAATTCCTAGTCCTTAGTTCAGTCTTGGTTTTAATGAAATGCAGAAGGACCCTCCCTCCACTATTTGGAAGATTATTCCACAGCTACTAGCTTTCATTGTCAGGGAGATTTTAAAGAAATGTAGCATAATTTTCCATGTCATTCTATCCCATTGCTCTGATTATCACCATAAAAGTAATGATCCTTCCTTGGTATTTACACGATTTAAATATTTCTATCTTTACACCTTCCTCTGCCCCTGCAATCTTATTAGTCATCTCTAAAGCCGGCTCTACTTAGGCCTTTTAGTTTTTGCTTCTAAATCAAGCTTTCCAGTCCCATAACCATTTTTGTTGCTCTTCCCTGTACTACCTCTTATGTGTTCATAAAGTATCAGAATTGAACACAGTACTCACCCAGCTAGTCTCTAGTACTAGATTCTTTGCTTACACTAGATCTGCAAAGATCTTAGAGAGGAGCATGAGTGTCAACTCAGTTTTTAATTCCCCTTCCAGATAGATCTCTGAAGTGATTCTTGATTATCCTCCACCCTTCATTATCAATAATACCTCACGCCACCACCCACAAAAATCTTATTTAAAAGCAAAACAAAAAAAGAAAAACCCAAACAAAAAAACTTCATTAATTTAGAACACATCATGCTAGGTTTAAGAAATATTGATGAAGGAGATGATCAGCCTCAAAGACTACTATAATCTCCATGCCTATAATTCATAAAAAATTTGGATTAACAGTGGTTAAAAACCTCATGAATTTTACACCCTGCTTACATATAATTGCCCTGGTTGTCATTTATACAGCATAATTCTTGTTTGGACTAAATCATTTTTGTGCAGTGATCACAAGAGCCAGGATTTGAAACCAGCTGGAAATTGACTTTAAAATAGAATGGAACTTCGGGCCTCTTTTCACTTTTCATGTCAAATGAGGGGGCCGGAGTTCAGGGGAGTAAACAGAATGAAATGGTTACAATTTTTAAAAATATTCTTCATTTTAATAAAAGTCAAACATAGTAGAGTCTGTAATACTATCTAGTCAGTCATCCTTGATTACTAGTGGCAACTAATTGATTTCACTTGAACTGTATTTCAACCCACGAAAGGACTATTAAATAGACTAACCCCAAATTTGAAGCTTTAGAAGAAAAGTATTAAAAAGCCTTATGCAAAGTTTTCAGTTATTTTAATTTTGAGGGACAGGTTTGTTGTTGGTTTTTTTTAATTCAAAACATGTATAGGGCACAAACCTGAAAACTAGAAAGTGAAGCTGATCAATCTAATTTCACTGATCAAGCTGAGCGAATCACAAAAAAGTAGTAAAAGGTAAAAAACAAACCAGATTTTACAGATATCATATGTAAATAATTAACACAAGGTGTAAGGCAGTAGAGAATCAGACTGGGTATCTTTACTTTTGTTTTGTACAGAGTGCTACACACATTGACTGAGGTATGATTATTAATGATTAAAATAATTAAATTAGTAATACTGTAATCAAACCATTTGATTAAATTTTGCCATTTGAATGTATCTAAACACTTGTTTCAGATACCAGATTTCAGCTGACCAGCAGGCGGATTCTTATTTACACTGATGCTCCTTTACACCATTATGGCAGTGTCCAGGGGCCTTAGAGTGGATTTAAATTATACCCAGTGTGAGGCTACTGGGCAGTGCCAAACTGGTATAAGGGGCTTCAATAGAAATAAGAATCAGGTCCTAAATTCCCTCTAAGCTGCATGGCTGCCCAGCTGCCTATTAAGCCCCGCGCAGGGGCTCAGGGCTGCCGCGGGGAGAGGCGCCCCTCCCCGCCGGCCAAAGCACAGACCTGCCGCGGCGGGGAGAGGCGCCCCTCCCAGCGCGGACCTGCCCTGGACTTGCCGCAGCAGGGGGAGAGGAGCCCCTCCCCCAGCCCGGCCCAGCCGGAGCTGCCAGTGAGAGGAGCCCAGTCCCACTGGAGCCCAGTCCCACTGGAGCTGCCGTGGCCGGGCAGAGGCACCTCTGCCGCGGCCGTAAGCTGCTGTGGCAAGAGAGGGCTGGGGGGAGTCCCCCCGGAGCTGCCTGCACCCCAAATCCCTCATCCCCGGCCCCACCCCAGGGCCCACATCCCCCCACACCCCAACCCTCTGCCCCAGCCCTGAGCCCCCTCCTGCACCCCAAGCCCCTTATCCCCACCCCACAGCCTGCCCCCCAGCCAGAGCCATCATCCCCCCACACCGTAACCCTCTGCCCTCCAGCCCTGAGCCCCCTTCCACAATCCAAAGCCCTCGGCCCCACCTCCACCACATGAATTTTGTTATGTGCACCAATATGGAAGCCATGTGTCACATCACCTCCATATTGGTGCTCATAACAAAATTCATTCCGCACATGGACGTAAAAAATTAGAGGGAACACTGGTCAGGTCCAAAGATATTAATAGAATTCAACAACACAGGTCTGATCAACCCATGTTCTAACATGGTTCCCCAAAATGCACACGTCCTCAGTTTATGGGATTCTTATCTCAACATCCTTTTTCTCTGTACCAACAGACTGACCTGATATTTTCCTATTATACTTTTTACACTAATATTCTGTTAGTATTAGATTAAAAGATTTTTTTGGCTTTGAAATAGAAAATCCCTATGCCACTCAAGAAAGGTCAAGGGGACAAGATAGTGTAACCTTCAAGATGCATTACTCACTTTTAAAGAAAGATGTGCCTCAATCAGTCTCAAAATAATGCCTGGGGATATAGTCACTGACATTCTCTACAGCTTCCTCTTTGAAGACTAATTTTTACAATAATTTTTTTATTAAGAACAAATCTCAGTAAATTGACTAATTGAAACTTAAAATTTAGGAATGAATTTCCACTCCAATCAACATTTTGGGGTTAGGCTCATTATGTTTTGTACCTACATTACTAAGTGACATTTGTAAGGAAAGGAAAATGGAGGTTGGCAGAATTTTTGTTAAAGCATTAGAAACTCCTGATCTGTTCCATATCATTTGGCAAAGACTTTTAATCTATGTAGCCATCATACCTGTACCTGACATGATCATTATAATAAATTCTATACAATATGATGTTTATGGTGAGTAAAAATACAAAAACACATTGCATGAATTTTTTTATTTAACTACATATAAGTACATGTGAACAATTGGCATAAACCCCATAAAAATACAGTACTTTTTTGTGCTGTAACACTATTTAGTCACAATGTTTATATAGAAAGATATCCTTTTTACTGCTTTCTTGAAACTCATCAACATATTTAAAAAAAATTCTCTTCTCCTAAGCCCTTTTTAGTGATCCAGTTTCCTTATAGAAACTTTACCAAAATGTATTTTTGTAAAAGTTAAAAAGTTAATATGTATTTTCAACCCTTTATCTGCACCCTCCCAATAAAGCAAATTAAAAAAAAAATCAAATACATAAAATACTGATCAGCTTTTATTCCACAGTTTTCACATATGTTCAACATTTTATTACTACTGTCACAGCTGTAAAAGAGGTTTATTTCTACAGCATCTATTACTGCTAGATGCAGTCAAGGCTGAATATCCAGTACAGCCACCTAGACCACTGTCATGTCATTAGGCTGCTGATTGAACAATTAACATTTATATAGTCTCAAAAGTTACAAATCTAGATTACTTGTGATGTTTTCAAGTGGCTGTAACATATAGAATTTATAACATCTTGTTTGTTAATAGCCTGTACGGTATCCTTGCTCTAGTACACTGGGAAATGAATTCCTCTGTGAAATTAAGTCCTGTATCATCCACAATGGCCACATTACGGTGATAGAAATAAGAAAAAACTTCAAAGCAGGAAGGATAATTGCACTCTACATGGTCAGACAATTCAAGGAGAGTATATCTAACATTTGGTTTAGTGATTAAATTTACACAAACTTTTGACTATAATCATAGTACAGTCAGGTTAATTTTGTTACAAGGTTTTTCTTCAGTATTATTTGGATACTTTTAAAAACGATTTTTAAAAACCAGGATTAGTTAAATAAAGCTAGATGTCCAATGTACAACAGAATCTTTAAACGGGCTTTAATAGATGGGGAAAGAAAATGTGATATGAACTAGATGCAGCATTTCCTACAGAACTAAGATGTAGCTCTAGCACTGTTAAGGCAGTGCAGAGTTTTTCTATTACCTTACTAAAGCTACACAACAACAAGGATAAATGACAGATTTTGCCTGAATAAAATATTTTTTCCCTTCTTAAACTTCACATGTGCATGTCTGGTTGTTTTGAATGTTCTAGAATGTTTAAAATCCTTGGGCAATCAGAGGCTAAGCTACTGCTCAGTTGCAAATATTCCTCTCATTGGTTTAATTATTTTTTAAAATTAATATTGAAGTTAAGGTTCCAAGCACATGCAAAGTACACATCATCTAAAATGTGCAGTTTCAAGATTGTTTAAAAACTATTTCCATTTAAAAAGACAAAGGCCTGACATGTTTTTAAAGTGATCCAAAACTATCAGCAACCCTTCTTCAGTTTCTCTTAAAACCATTCTTCACACAGATATGGCTAAAGAAATTGTGTGACTTCTTCAGAAATGTGTGATCAGTATCACGTTATCCAAAGAGGAATACGGGGAGTGGTCATTATACTGTGATGGTGATTTAAGAAGTCTGCTGCTAGATGCTACAGCACCATCCATTAGTTCCTAATTACTAGCACCAATGGTTTAAATAATCTTGCTTTGCTAAGGCAGACTGACAGCATTGTTTCACAATCTGATTGGTTTTGAGAACTGTTGTTACTTTCTACAGCCACTTAACTTTTGTTTGGATCAGCATTTATTAAAGAGTGTGCAAACATATAATCATTTGCATAGCAAACCTCAAGAGACTGACCCTGAAATAGAAATCCAAACTGTCAGGTTAAGGTACTTCTATAATCAGAATTCCTTTAAAATGACAAAAAATTAAAAATATACATTTCCTCATTTTAAGTTTAGTATAAAAGGTGTTTCTGATTTAGAATTTTTATATGGTTAGCAGTTAAAAAGTTGAAAAAGTTTGACAGTTCTTTGCACTGAAGTGTTATTCCCTTGTAACCTTCAAGACTCTGTAAATACTGTTCTGGAATACTGTGTTGAAATATGGCCTGGGATCCTTACTCATAAGGTTACATAAAGGAATTTTGCCAGCATTGGCAGGTTCTTCCACATCCCAAATTTCAGGCATACTGCAACCGGGCCTAGAAAATATTTGAATAAGTAAACAAAAATAAAGAAGGACAGGTAAGGAAATGTAATCAAAGAAACATGGCAAGTTTGTTTTATAAACTAAGGGTTAAAAATGACTGACCTACAAAGGGGAAAAAAGGGTTTCTGAACTCTTGCTTCTTTATGATGAATTACGGAAAGCACTTAGATTTTCTTTAAAGGTTTTTTTCACTTGTCTTTACACTGGAAATACAGGTCAGATTGGAGAATAAGTGAAAAAAATGGTTACCTACCTTTCATAACTGTTGTTCTTTGAGATATGTTGGTCACGTCCATTCGATTCTAGGTGTGTGCGCACCCACGTGCGTGGTCGGTGATTTTTCCCTTAGCAGTATTCATAGGGTTGGCTGTGGCGCCCTCGAGTGCCATGCTCACATGTTGGTATATTAGGTGCCGCCGTCCCTATGTCCTCTCAGTTCCTTCTTGTCAGCAACTCCGACAGAGGGGCGGGTAATGGAATGGACATGAGCAACACATCTAGAAGAACAACAGTTACGAAAGGTAGGTAACCGTTTTTCTTCTTCGAGTGCTTGCTCATGTCGATTCCATTCAAGGTGACTCACAAGCAGTATCCGTGGAAGTGGGCTCGGAGTTCTTGGTCTTGCAGCTTGCAACACTGCTCTGCCAAAGCCAGTATCCTCTCAAGCTTGCTGGGTAAGTGCATAATGAGACGTGAACCTGTGGACAGATGACCAGGTAGCGGCCCTACAGATCTCTTGGATTGGCACCTGTGCCCGGAAGGCCGCTGATGTCACTTGCACTCTAGTCGAGTGTGCTGTCACGATTGCCGGTAGAGGCACTTTCGCTAGCTCATAGCTGTAGCGGATACAGGCCGTGATCCAGAATGAAATCCTCTGAGCAGATACTGGACGACCTTTCATCCTGTCTGCCACCGCAATGAACTGTGTTGACTTGCGAAACGGCTTTGTCCTGTCGATGTAGAAGGCCAGTGCCCTCCTGACATCCAAGGTGTGCAACCTGCATTCCTCTTCCAATTTATAAGGCTTCAGGAAGAAGGCAGGTATGTATATGTCCTGGCCGGTATGAATTTCGGAAACTACGTTGGGTAGGGATGCTGGGTGCGGCCGCAACTGGACCTTATCTTTGTAGAATACCGTTTAGGACACCTCTGAAGTAAGCGCCTTGATCTCAGACACCCTGCGGGCAGACGTTATCACAACCAGGAATGAAACCTTCCAGGAGAAAAGAGGAGAGCAGGAAGCCAGAGGCTCGAAGGGAGGCCCCATGAGCAGTGACAGCACAAAATTCAAGTCCCAAGGAGGGACAGGACCCCAGGCGTGAGGGTAGAGATGCTCCAGAGCTTTCAAAAACCAGGCGGTCATGTTTTGAACGAAGACCGACCTGCCCTGAAGCAGAGGGTGGAAGGCCGAAATAGCGGCCAGGTGGACCCTGATTGATGACAGGGACAATCCTTGGAGCTTGAGGTGCGGAAGATAATCCAGCGAAGCCTGGATACATCATTACGAGGCCCAGCACATGAACCTTTTCCACTTGGCCAGGTAAGTTGCTTTGGTGGAGGGTTTTTTGCTACCCAACAAGATCCGCTGAATCCAGGCCGAGCATTCCCGTTCTTCAACGTTCAGCCATGCTGTCAAGTGCAACACCACCAGGTTTGGGTGCAGAAGACTGCCATGTGTCTGAGACAGCAGGTCCGGCCAGAGAAGTAGCTGCAGCAGGACAGCTACCGAAAGATCCAGCAGCGTGCCGAACCAGTTCTATCCAGGCCACGTGGGGGCTATCAGGATAACCTTTGCCCTGTCCTGTTTGATCTTCACAAGGATTCTGTGGATCAACAGCACTGGCGGGAAGGCATACTCAGGGCCCCTGACCATGGGAGCAGAAAGGCATCTGACAGGGAGTCCCTGTCCATACCCCAGATTGAACAGAACACGTGGCATTTCCTGTTCTGACAGGATGGGAACAAGTCCACCTGGGAAGTCCCCAGAAGATCATACTGACCTCCTCCAGCTGGAGAAACCACTCATGGCAAGATGAGAAGGTCCTGCTGAGGTGATCTGCTAACACATTCCTGGTCCTGGGCAGATGCGCGGCTACCAAATGAATGGCATGCCGCACACAGAAGTTCCAAAGGTGGAGAGCTTCTTGGCAAAGGGCCAACGACATGGCTCCACCCTGCCTGTTGATGTAATACATCGCAGCAATATTGTTCAGCGGGACCTGCATCACCTTGCCTTCAGGTGGGGCAAGAAAGCCTGACAGGCCAGGCAAACCGCTCTGAGCTCCCTGACTTGTTGAAGTGTCGCAGGTCCAGAATAAGTCTGAAGTTCCATATGCTTTCAGGATTAGGAAGTAGAGGGAGTAGAAACCTTTTCCTTTTATGTCCCAAGGGACCTCCTCCACCGCCCCCAGGTGCAAGAGGTTCTTGACCTCTTGAACGAGGAGTTGCTTGTGAGACGGGTCCCTGAAGAGGGATGGGGAATGGGTGGGGTGGGAGGGAAGGAGAGCCGAGAATTGCAGGGTGTAGCCCGGAGATACTATCTCTAGCACCTAGCGGTTTGAGGTGACCCATGACCAGGTCGAACGGTAGGGACGAAGACGATTGAGGAAAGAACGACTTGGATCTGGGGAGTTAACGGGGGCGTCACTCTCGAGTGCACCTTCAAAATGAGCACTTCTGGCCCCCAGGATGCTTTGCCGGGCTGGGTTGCTTGGGTGAGCAGGAGGAGGAAAGGCGGTGACGACTAAAGCTCATGTCTCTATCCCTTCTCCTTGCAGACCCCTGTTGAGGCCGCCAAGGCCTTGGCAGTGGTGGCGGCCGAAACTGCTTCTTCGCTGCTTGCAGCGTATGCAGACACAGCGAGCAAAGGGTGGCCCATGCAGCCTTGCATCAGTCTGCTCCGCAAAGAGACCATTCCCATCAAATGGGAGATCATGAATTGAGGCCTGCATTTCCTAGGATGGGCCAGCAGTCTGAAGCCAGGAGCTACGCCTCATGACCACCATCGATCCCAACACTCTAGCTGCTGAATTGGCCACATTCCACACCATTTGAAGGGAGCACCTCGCTGCTGCAGGACCCTCCGCTCCCAGGGTACCAAACTCCTGGGCCAAGTCCTGGGGCAGGGACTCCTTGAACTTATGGAGAGTCTCCCATAAGTTGAAGCTGTATCTGCTGAAAAGAGTCTGGTGGTTCACCACCCGGAACTGAAGGTTGGCCGTTGAATAAATCTTCCTTCCAAAAAGCTCTAGCCTCTTGGCCTCTCTATTTTTGGGGTCGAACTGGTGTACACGTTTGCCCTTCTCATTGGCTGCTGAGACGACCAGCGAGCCTGGAGGCAGATGGGTATACAAGTACTCGAACCCCATGGCTGGCACGAAGTACTTTTTCTCAGCCCTCTTGGAGGTGGGAAGGATGGACGACAAGGTTTGCCAGAGGACCTTGGATTTTTTTAAGACCCCATTGTGCACTGGTAGTGCAACAAGGGCATGGCTAGATGCCGAGAGCATACTGAACAGGATGTCCGCCTGTTCAGTCATCTCCTCTACCTCCAGGCCCAAGATCTTGGGCCACCCGTTGAAGCAGGGCCTGGTGCTCTTTGAAGTCATCCGGCAGGCTGGCACTCAAGACCCCCCCCCCCCACCTCATCCGGGAATGAGGATAATAACTGGACCATCGGGGGAGGCCCCAGGGCATCATACCCTGTGGGGGAAGAGGGTTTTGGGGTGGGCACTCACTCCTCTACCCCGACCTCCGAGTGCACTTTGTGCACTGAGCCTGGTGCCGCCAGCTGTTGCTCTGAGGAGGCAGCCAATGAATGATGCAAAGGGGGCATCAGCATCACAGGCATGCCCCACGCACTCCAGTAGGGCCACTGTGCTGGCCACTGGCTGTGTTGCCAAGATGGCATCACAGAGATTGATGCAGCTCGGGTGCCCAACCGCGCCAGTGATGCCTCGGCGAGGGGCTGAATTCCCTCTCTGTGCCAGAGGACTCCCCTTCCGGTGATTATGGTGGTGCTGTCGATGCCTGCATCTGGTGGCTAACTGTTGTCACTGGAGACCGGCGTTTTGAATAGGAGGACCGGCAGTGAGAGGACTGGTACCGCAACAGAGACTGTTCCCAAGCTGCGGGGGATGGGGATCTGTGCTGAGAAGATGACCAGCGGGAGGGTGACAGGCACCTCTCCCTAGGCTATCTGCATTGAGAGGGCAAAGACCGCAATCGTGGTGCAAGTGATCTAGGGCAACTTGCGGAGGACCTGGGTTGTGAAGCCGGAGATCTGCGGCGCAGAGACGGAGAGGGTTGTCTTGGTTCTGGGGATTGGCGATGCTCACTTGCCCTCTGGAGGGGCTTGATGGCTGGCTTGACCTTGTAGGGAGCCTTTACCGCTTCCTGAGACGCACATGGCACCGGCGATGCTGGTAGAGGCCTCTATGCTCTAGGCGCCGGGAGAGCCTTGGAAGGTGTCAGCCCTGCCATAAGCCTGCGTCCCCAACCGCTCCCAGGAGTTGGTAGTGGATCTGTTGAGGGGCTAGGGACCCCCATTGGGGAGGCATATCCATGTGGCTCTGGTGTGGGCGGGTGGCCCAAACTGGGTCCTTTGCCCGATACCCCAGGCCTTTCTTGCTCAGTGCCGGGGAGCCGTCTTTCTTGGACTTCTTTTTGGGCACCAGTGCCGGAGAGCGGTGCCAGGGGTGCATTACGCACCAAGGCCGAAATGCTAGGGGTAGAGTCTGGCTGGGAAGGCTCGGAAGCCGGGTGGAGAGCAGCTTCCATAAGGAGGGCCCTCAAACGAATGTCACGCTCTTTCTGGGTCCTTGGTTGAAAGTTCTTACAGATGCAACACTTGTCTTTCACATGCAATTCCCCCAAGCACTTCAGGCAGCTGCTATGGGGGGGTCACTAACAGGCATAAACCTGTTGCAGTCAGAGCAGGGCATAAAACCTGGACAGCGGGGCATGCTCCACCTGGGGTGAAGTCCGTGTTGGGACTCTAACTTCTAACTACGCTACTTAACAACCACTTAAACACTAACAGCTATAAACAAACTGTTTACAATGCCCTAAGGCTTGAAGACAGCAGAAACGAAACAGATAGCTCTTGCTAGGCAAGGAAAAGGCACTCTGACTAACCACCACGAGCGGTAAGAAGAACTGAGAGGGCGTAGGGTTGGCGGTGCCTATTATACCGACATATGAGCGCGGCACTCCAGAGGGCGCCACAGACGACCCTACGGATACCGCTAAGGCAAATATCTCAGATGACCGCGCGCATACCTAGAATGGAATCGACATGAGCAAGCATTCGAAGAAGAAATTATATTACAAGATAAAAGAAAAAAGTATATAGTCAAAAAATTCTTGTTTGGGTTTTGTAACATCTATTTTATTTCCAGAAAAAAATTTGCAGAAAAAATTCAACACCTTTGGACCTCATTATACATACACATCTGCAACTGCCTTCACAGCATAGTGATCTGCTTGCTCTGCATTAACTTTAGTTGTGTTCTACAATTATGTTTAAGGTTATAATCCTAACATGTTCACACACAAGCTTTACTTTACACATATGAATAAAGTCAACAGAACTACTGTGTGTAGAGTTACTTGTGTATTTGAAGGATCTGGGCCCAAATTTGGTTCTGGTACTTAATTATGGTTAAGGATAAATGTAAATTCAAACTGCATATCTAACACAAATTAGCTAATATCTAATGTTCATGTACCTGTGGGTGTTTGAACAACATACCCCGAAGTAAAGAGGCTCAGTGACTGCGAAAGTTCTCAGAGTTGTAAAGTCTGTTTTTCTATTCACACATCTCAAATCTGTTTGTGTGGATAGAGAGCCTGGCTCTGTCTGTATTAATTCAATTCATACAGTTTAAGAACTTGTGCTAAATGTGAAATAAATCTGCAAGTTCTAATGACAGGGTTACCATAATTCTCCCATCAACCTCCACAATCCAAAGACAAGATCCAGTATATCCTCAGCTATACTTTGGACAGAATATTGATACTGAATACTAATACTCACTTAGTTCTTCTTATGCACCACGACTCTTCTAAGATGTAATAATTCACTCCTAGTCTTAACAATTCTTTTTTCACTTCTTTTGCTGGTTTTCGACTATACATGGAATACACTATTTTAGTTCTGGCCCTTTGAAAAGAAAAAATCCATAAAAGTTGTTAGCAAATAGAATGGGAGGGTGGGGAGAACCAAATTATTTAGGATGGCTAAAATAGCCAGACTGAGATACTATAACAAGGGGGATTGTATAAAAAAGGCAGACCGCTCTGTAAGAAAAGCATGTAATAAAATTATATTTATGTTAGAATACTTGGGTTTTACATTTCTTAAGTTATTTGCCCTCCTATTTTAGACAAGGCACCAGGAAACACTGCAGCTTATTATTTCATACCGACTGTGTATCACTTGTGGGAGAGAAGCAACGACTTTCTACTGAATTGGCCTTTAGGACACATTTATATTGTAGATGATTCAGTTCCAGCCATTTTGTTCTAACTTCACTCAGATTCATTCCAGAGATTTTGACTGAAGTGGGTTAAGTTTCTTCTGGTTTAATGAGAAACAAGATGAATGTCCTGCGTGGACCCCTGTTTGCCCTCCCAGGAAAGTGAGCTTCCTTAGATTTGTAAAAAGAGACTTTGAGACAGAACTTGTTTCTTTCCATTTCCCACTAGACTGAACAGAACATGATTTTAGTTTAAAGACAAGAAAGGGTGAGCAGAATCACCAAAAAGGAAAGCCTGGCATTATGATCTACTGTCAATGCACTGGAGTAATGTACATAATCATATAATAACCTTAACAGAATTCTATTTGTCCTGTAAAAGAGAAGGTTAGTGAAAGTCTGAAGACATGCAGTGAATCATTTAGAATATTCTCCACAAAATCCTGTCAGTCTAGTGCTCATATGATTGTGGGATGGGGAAGTAAGGCAAATAGCTGTTTTGCAGACTTGTCCCAAAATATTAAGGCTCTGATACCAAGTACAGTTGAAGGGGATTGTCTGGAGACAGAGAGCAACATGATTGTAGTTGGGTCTTACATCTGAATATAAACATACTATAAACATGTGGCAATATCTGTGTGCTCCCCTTCCCCTACCCTCTTTCCACAAACTCGAGTTGCCAAAGACTGTTGCAATGATACTTGTGGATAAGATGCAAGATGTTAAACTTTTTAAATAAATGAATTTCAGAAGCCAATTTACACAAAAAGTTCAGGTTCTGAAAATTGCAAGGAAAACAAATTAAGCCGTCAAATGCCATATGAAATGAACTCACAAAAAAGTCTGTGCAAAATTTGAATTTCAATCAGTCTTAATAAAAGAAGTTCCTAACTTAATAATCAATATTTAAATAATATGATTTAATATTTCAAGAAAACACAACCTTTGATTACAGTAATATCTAAGTAATTATAGCTGCAGTCTTGAGAACTGGTCTGTTCACTGGGCCATGGGAAAACAGAGCAACAAGAGGTAGATTTAGTAGGAGGATGTTGCTTCAGACTTCATAATTACACAATATTTTTGATTACTAAGGCTATATTTATACTTTAAATGCTACAGTGGCACAAGTGCAGCTGCATTACTCTAGCACTTCAGTGGAGAGACTACCTATGTTGACGGGCAGGCTTCTCCCATTGGTGTAGGTAATCCACCTTCCCAACGGGCGGTAACTCAGTCAACGGAAGAATTCTTCTGTTGATCTAGAGCTGTCTACACCCGGCGCTAGGTTGGTTTAACTACGCCACACAGTGGTGTGGATTTTTCATACCCCCTGAGCGACAAAGCTGAGTCGACCTAACGTTTTAGTGTAAACCAGCCTTAAGTCTGAACCATTACCATGTCTCTACTACTTCTATCCCACAATGGACTATTGTCCTTCAACTTGTTGATGACTATTTTAAAACAATGTTGATTAGTCAAATAAAAATATGACCTAGGACCTCATGGATTTTAAAAAAATTGTACTAGACAACATGACGATCATTACTAATGTACATCACAAGGCTAAAATAGTTAATGTTAGAGGAATAAAACTGAACTTCGAAATTTACCTCAGCCCTGCATCTTCATAATGGGGATGATTGACAATAGGTCGAAGGGCAGACAACTTGACACTTGCCATTGTAGGCATCGCTCCTGCAAAAACAGCATCTGAAATATATAATGAAAGACTTATTTAAAATAAAAAAGGGGAGACGAGATTTTCAGTTTCAGATAGTAAAACCAGCATAGCTGTAGGACAATACAACAGAATAAATGTAAGGAAGGAGAGAATGTTGCACTTAAAAAAAATCCTTAAATTTAATTGCTCTGAAAGCTTGGTTCAAATAGCCTGTGAAGAGATGCTCAAAAGACAAAGGCCAAGCATTTTCAAAACTAACGATTTATTTGGGATGATAAGCGCCCTGGGGGGGGGGGGGGGGGGGAAACAGACTTTTTAAAGCATCTCAATTTGAGCACCCAAAAGGAGGCATGTAAAAATCACTGGTCACTTTGGAAAGTATTGACTACTGTATCAGTCTTAAGGAAATAAACTATTAAATTTGTGGACATAATATAATTTTATTAATTTTTTTGGTCATGAATCTGTATATTGACACATTCATGCCAGTTTCATTTTTTTACTTGATTTCTGATGCATGTACACCCAAGTATGTACCACCTGACTGTGATACATGTCCTTAGTGCAGGCAGATACTTTCATGTTTACAACTATCCATTTATGGAGAAGCAGCTCATTTTCTGATTTATCTGTCTCCTTTGAACAAAAGGAGAGGAACGAACAGGAACATGCCCAAGAATGAATAGGGCGTGCTCTACTGATGAAATGAAGAGCAAGGCCCCAGTCCTGCATATGGATCCATGCGGATGGAACCCTACAATTTATGTCGAGTCCATTTAAGTCCATTAGTGATACTACAGCAGTGTCTAGGGTTCCCAAACAAGTTTGGAGCCCTACAATATTAGGGTCTGTACAAAATTATAGTAAAACACAGCCTCTGTCCAGAAGAGCTTATAAATCTAATACAGAGGGGAAACAGAACCAAGTGACTTGTACAACGTCATGCAGCAGGTCACTGACAGAGCTAGGACTGATATGAAGGTCTCCTCAGTCCCAGCTCAGTACTTTATCCACTAGATCATGTTGCTTCAGTCAGCTGAGCACTGTATACATGCAAAGGTCCACAAACATGGATCCAACTGTGTGAATGACACCCAAGTATGTGAACGCTGTTGCACTTAAGAACACAAGCATTTTCAAAAAAATACGTTCATCATATTTCAGGAAAAACTTTTGAGACAAATATTGAACTTTCCTTTGGGAATTTTTTTCTTCTGAATAGAATTATATTAAGATTTTAGCCAAAATGTGATTGTCTTCAAGAAAAAAGGCATACAAGATGGTTACTAACTTGTACTGTAACTGTTGTTCTTTGAGATGTTGGTACAGACGTGCACCCAGTACACCAAGTCAGAGAACTTTGCCTAGAAGTACCCGTAGAGGCGGCGCACACATCCTCTAGCTCCTTAGTCCCTCCCCAGGCTATTTAAGGGCAGTGCTGCCCCAACCTCCCTCTCAGTCCCTTCACACCAAACATCAAGAATTGAGACTTCTATGTAGAGGGGCCAGAGGGTATGTCATAGAATACACATCTGCACCCACATCTCAAAGAACAGTAACAGTATATGTAAAATAACTGTCCTTTCTTCTTTGAGTGGGTGCAGACATGTATTTCACTTAGGTGACTGACAAGCAGTATCAGGACATGTGGCTCACAGTCTATTCTAAGAGCAACTGCACGACTGCCTTCCCAAAATCTGCATAATATCATGATGCTTTTTAAAGTTATGGATGGAAGACCAAATAGCAGCCCTGCAAATGTCCAGTATTAAAATATCACGGAGAAATGCAACTGTCACTTGGGACCTCGTTGAAGTAGTCATGGCCACATGAAACACTGTCTTTTGGCATAGAAAAGACAAAGAACAAGTTGCCTGGGGCTCAAATGGAAAACCCATGGAGGGCAGCCAACATACTGCTAAGGTCCCATTGATGAATCACTTCCTTTACCAATGGAAAGACACAAGTGACCCCTTTCATGAATCTGGCTACAATGGCATTTGAAAAAACGGATTTCCCTTGGACCAGAGAATGAAATGCAGAAATTGCTGTTAAGAGGACCCTCAACGAACTGATAGACAGGCCAGAGGACTGAAGGTATAATAGGAACTCCAAAACGTCCTGAATACAGGCTTGCCTCAATTGAACTCCCTGTGGCCAAGAACTAAGTTGAAATACATTTCCACTTAGCCAAATATGTAAGTGGACTTTCTACTAGTAAAGGACTATCTACTACTAAGCTGAACCTGTTGAACAGCTGTGGAACAGTGCTCCTCCTGATCTAATCATGCGGCATCCATGCAGTGAGGTGTTAACTGATTGCAGCTGGATATCAACAATAAAATCCCAGAAAGACTGAGATAAAGAAGCTTGAAGTAAACTATCACACTGATTGCTCCAACTCTAGCCATGCATGGCGAGAAGGAACTGATGGGGGTCAGGGTGGCGCCGCCTTTAAATAGCCTGAGAAGGAACTAAGGGGCCAGAGGACACAAGTGCAGCACCTACAGTTACCTCTAGGAAAAATTCTCTGGCTTTGGTGCACTGGGTACGTGCACACCTGAGTGGAATACATGTCTGCCACTTGCAGAACAGAGGATTCTCACTTAAATCTAAGTGACATACAAGGAACGTATCCCAGTATTCCAAATATGTTAGTTTAAAAAAAAGTGTTTAATTTAATGTGTGTCAAAAACCATATGTGTAATAGCACAATAGTATTTTGAAAAATGCAGTTAGCATTTTAATTGGCTTAATCTTGATTCAATTCCAGCATCTAATAAGGTTTAACTGCTCCTGATGGACTGTATTTTGACAGATTATTGCTAAAAATTGCTTCAGTTACAGCTCAAATAAGGACATCATCACACACAACTAAATAGTTTACCTTGTCTGGTACTGGATTTTATCCATTCTAAAAGTTCTTCCTGTGGCAAATTGCTAAATTCTCCCATGATGTTCCACTGATTCTGAAGGTTTGCTGATCCCTCTATTGCCATTATTGCTAAAATAGCAAAGACCAATGTTTTGGGCTGAATTTTGCCAAAGAGCCATCCAAACAACTGAAATATAAAAGCCAGTTAATTCCCAGATACCTACAGTATTACACAATATTCATGGCTTATGATTTTAATTTCTCCAGTAGAAACCTGTCACACATATTACAATCAATCAAAAGTTGTTCTTTTAGGGCCCAGTCCTGCTTCTATTGACATCAATGGAAATTCTGCCATTAACTTCAGTGAGAGTAGGATTAAGACCTTAAATATTCACTTAAGTTGACTCCATTGTAGTAAATTGCTCCTACTTTTCTTATACTATAAAATAAGACACTATGCATTAATGCAACCTTAAATTTGCAGTGAAAATAAAGTCAGGGAATGCAGCAGTTAAGATTCATTCAGCAATGTCAACTTCTAAATCTCACATATATAGTATTTTATATTCTTGTCAAATGGACAGTTCAGTATATTTCTGGTCATGTTAAATGTATTTCATAAAAAGATACAGGATAAGTCAACTTTTTTTAAGAACCTACAAGCAAATCAGAAAGGCAAAAGTTAATGGTAGAACTTTACTGTTACATCACATCTACTCTTTCCCTCTCCTACACTGAAAGAGATAGGCTTTGTTTGAATAATAGTGCAAGTGGTTTGAAGCAGACTTTGAAGTGTGCACGTCAGTAAAATGAGTACTGTGGAGAGAAATTGTAATTCTGTTTTTACTGCTCTACTGTTTGGCTTGATCAAGGACAACCTATCCCAGCCACACTTGACCTAACCCGCCACGTACCCACAAAACATATCCCTTAATTTTTATTGGCAATTTGTGAATTAAAAAAGCAAGGGTTTACACTTTATGCTTATGACACCTGGTTACACACAGTTTAACTGCTTGGCACTAGCTAAATGCATTCCCGTTAATCAGAATTTATGTAACTACTGTACTATTAAAGCAGCAGGAATTACCAATCACTGTTAGGCTAAATTATTTAATTTCCAATTAAGACCTCCCAATAAGCCAGCAATATCAATTAAACATGTGCCATATGAGATAACAGTATTTTAATTTTTATTTAATACAGTGCCTCTGGCAGCAGAGAGGGAACATGGCCACAGCACCATCCTTCTGCAGGATACAACATACACTCCACTGTTTCTCCCAGAAGAGCCAGACACTAGTCTGGAGCATTCATTGTACACAGTGTACCTAGCCCCAGCGTGGTTGCAGCACAGGGGTAGAAGGGCCGTCAACGCTTCTTGTTTCTTCTCTCCTCCTGAGTGCTTCTCTACAAATCTGGGCATTAATCAGACCACTACATAACCCAAAGGGAGCAACCTGCAGTCTGATGAATGGATGTAGCATAAGGAGCTTGTTATATGTGCTTGGGATGATTGTTTTAATATTAAAAACTTCTATTTGGAAGGATGAAAAAAAAACTTTATAACCACATTTAGATGGTCATAACTTATGTCACTTTCTTAGGGCTCTGAGGGGCCCATGGTTACAACAGAGAGCAAAAGTAGCCCAATTTGTAGAAGCCAGAATACCACAAAACCATTTTATGGACATTTATAATCCTACTAGTCTCTAAAAATTAAAATGTCATTTTATATAAATATAATATGATGCTGACCCATTAATTTGACTGCTGATGTGTTTTAGCAGTTGGCAGCTTTTTGGCAGATATACTAACAGTACATGGCAATCTCAGTTTAAGTGAGAATGTGTTAGAACATTTAAACTCCTTAGTTAGTTTGCTGCTTTTCAGGTGAAGAAAAACCACAGTCCCATAACGGTTCTATAAAAACTTGATAAAATTAACAGTATTTTGTACATATGCACAACCCAAAGTGATTGAACATGCATAAAATGCAACAAAAGCATCTCCTTTTATATGAAGTTGTGACTAGATTAGGATGATTCTCATGTGGTACATGGTTCACAAACATGCTCCGCCAAATAAATCTTTAAATGTTTGCAAGGAACATTTTCTTAATTTTCAAGTCCGTCAGAATGTTTTCTGCTAATTTTTCAAGTTCCATTTAGGATGGAGTAATTCCTCCTAATTTAGAGAGCAAACACACACAAACAACATCAGCTTTATCATCAATGTGTTCCGCCCCGCAAGATGCTGCACTGAGCAAACTGTGCTGTTTGATAATGAAGGGTATAATCATCCATGTGATGGCCTGAAAGAAAAACAGCCAGCTGCAGAACTAATCCCATTCCACAGATGCCAAGTCTCAGGCTGTGTATTCTCAGACAAAAAAAGGTGGTTTTACTGCAAGGATAACTTGTGTGTGTTAGCTATCATGCTGTAAAACTCTTAGTGGCGACAAGGATTGTAGTTTTACCATGAGGCAACCTAGATGAGGTCAACCATGGATGGGGTTATAGTGCTGACCTCGCCTAGCTATTTCACAGCAAAAACAACAACTGTCTTGTTTCTGCTTAGGAGTTTACAGCAAGATAACTATCATGCATTAGTTATCTCACTGTAAAACCCCCGCCACCTTTGAGGTTTTATCTTCACTGACAATCTCCCTCTTACTGGCTTGTCTTGGGGACTAGATTAGATGATCCAGATCCCTTGCTGTTCTGATTTACGTTCCTAAATCTTTGTAAGCTGTTTTCACCCTTACCACTTGCATAACTGCTTAATCCTGACATCCATCCCACAGATATCAAATCCTCCCAGAACCTTATTCTAGACAAGTCTGGACAATCACTTAGTCCTGACTCCCCTCTAATCCTAGTCAGCCCAAAAAGCAGTTATTCCTTCCGGTCCTTTTTATACATATACAGCCCAATTCTTGAGTCTGTCTGAGCTATTCTTGGCTGAGAACACAATGGGGCAGAATGAAAGCCACTTTTACACTTCCTTGGTCCTGGAGGTAGTGAGAGGTCTTCTCATCCCCTTTGTGTAAGCTAGGGCAACCTCATGTCTGCTCTAATCTATGCTGGATGCAAGAGCTCCTAGGGCCATTCCAGTCAGTGTAAGGCATGTTATCCATAATCTTTTCTGTCAATACCAGATTTAATGCCATCTGTGGAGTCCCCTACATGTATCAGATGTGCAGCCCCCTTTGTGTCACAGGAACAGCGCAAAGAAGCTAGGCCAGGAACAGAGAATCTGGCCCACATATTCCAGGTGCCACCCACCTTCAAATTAGGTAATGTTCTAAGGGTTAAATTATCAAAGATTTTTCCTCCTCTTGATGCATGAGAAAAATGATCTAGGAAGAAGCTAGACTCCATGTGTCAGACTTAAGTACTAAGCCCCAGTACCCTATCCTGAATGTGTAAATACAATAAATGGAATATGCAAGTACCTTGGACCTTTTAATTAATGAAAGGTTTTATACTTACTCTGCAAAAGTTAACATTTTATGCATACTAACTATAAAAATGGAAAGTTTGCCATAATGCTTTCCCCCCACATGTTGCAACACTGGTTTCAAATTAAATTGATGAGTGGATAAAATTTTGACTATTTCAACTTCTCCCTTATCCAGAACATTAGAGAGAGTAGTATTTGGACCTCAAATTGATATGCAAATAGCTAAATTATTCAATTAGTCAATCTGAAAACAACCAGAGAAGCAATATATGCAATCTGATGGATCAGGATCATAGTTCTTATGCTCAAAACTGGATAATGCAGATGAGCAATGTATAGTTAAAGCAAAAAACGGTTACTCACCTTTGTAACTGTTGTTCTTCGAGATGTGTTGCTCATATCCATTCCAATTAGGTGTGTGCATGCCGCATGCACGATCGTCGGAGAATTTTTACCCTAGCAACGCCCGGTGGGTTGGCTGTGGAGCCCCCTGGAGTGGCGCCTTCATGGCGCTGGATATATACCCTAGCCGACCCAGCGCCCCCTCAGTTCCTTCTTGCCAGCTACTCCGACAGTGGGGAAGGAGGGCGGGTTTGGAATGGATATGAGCAACACATCTCGAAGAACAGTTACAAAGGTGAGTAACCGTTTTTTCTTCTTCGAGTGCTTGCTCATATCGATTCCAATTAGGTGACGCCCAAGCCTTACCTAGGCGGTGGGGTCGGAGTGAGACATTGCTGAGTGCAGAACCGCTGAGCCAAATGCAGCATCGTCTCTAGACTGCTGTACTAACGTGTAGTAAGCGGCAAAGGTATGAACGGATGACCAAACCGCCGCTCTACAGATCTCATGGATTGAAACCTGGGCCAAGAAAGCGGTCGAGGAGGCTTGAGCCCTCGTGGAGTGGGCGGTGAGGCGTGGCGTGGCGACACCGGCCAAGTCGTAGCAAGCACGAATACAGGACGTGATCCAAGAGGAGATACGTTGCGAGGAGACTGGTAGGGCTTTCATCCGGTCAGCCACTGCAACGAAGAGTTGAGTCATCTTCCTAAATGGCTTCTTACGCTCGATATAGAATGCGAGGGCCCTGCGCACATCCAGAGAGTGCATACGTTGATCTTGCCGCATAGCATGTGGCTTAGGGTGGAAAACCGTGAGGAAGATATCCTGGTTCACATGAAAAGCTGATACCACCTTGGGGAGAAAGGCAGGGTGGGGGCGAAGCTGCACCTTGTCTTTATGGAAGACTGTATACGGAGGTTCCGACGTGAGGGCTCTGATTTCAGCCTTGCTGAAGTGATGGCTACAAGGAAGGCTATCTTCCAAGATAGGTAAAGGAGTTAGCAGGTAGCCATTGGCTTGAACGGGGGCCCCGTGAGCCTGGAGAGGACCAGGTTAAAGGTCCCACGCTGGGACCGGTTGACGCAGTTGTGGGTATAGGGAATCTAAGCCCTTTAGGAATCTGACGACCATCAGGTTAGAGAAGACCGAGGAAGCATGTTCTCCTGGATGGAACGTCGAGATAGCTGCCAGTGCACCCTGACAGATGATATCGCCAGGCCTTGCTACTTTAGGGATAGGAGATAGTCCAGTATAAGTGGTATCGACGCCTGCAAGGGGGGCGTGGCGTGCTGCTTGCACCAACAGGAGAAGCGCATCCATTTGGCTAAGTAGGTTGCCAGTGTGGAGGGTTTCCTGCTGCCTAACAGAACCTGCTGC